CTCTCCAGAAGTCTGGATTATGTTATTATTATATTATTATTATTCCTGACCACAAACCTGGCCGATAAGGGCTTATAGCAGGGCTTTTCAACCAGTGGTACAGGTACCACCTGTGGTACATTGGCACCTGGCAGGTGGTACGCGACCATCCTAGAAAAGTGGTAGCGGGGGAGGGGAATGAGCTGAACCGGTGGCAGCACCGCACAAGCCTGAGCGAGAGATGGCTGGAACTGCAGGGCTGTCAGAGCTCAGCGGAAGCGCCAGGATCAGCGCCAGGCTCCAGCTGGAGCTCGGTGCTGATCCTGGCGCATCTGCTAAGCCCTAAAGAAACACCAATCAGCTGGAATGTTGCAGCATCTCCAGGGTCTTGTGATTTACATTCAGATGCTTGGCAACTGATTCATATTTATGACAGTCACAGTGTCCCAGGGTCATGTGAAGTGACCAAAACCTGCTGCAACCACCCAGTAGATGGGGGAGAATAAAAACCAAACACACCCCCACCCCACCCCCACTGCCAATCCTCAACAGAAATGCTCACAACAATGAAAACCTCGGACAGGAGGAAGAGCGCCGCCAGGTGGGCAGGCAGATGTCTTGCTCGGCTGTGGCTTGGGGGGCACTTTTTTCAGTGCCATTGTAACTTCGAACAGTCACTAAGCGAACTATTGTAAGTCGGGGACTACCTGTACTTTATTACTTTTTTCCTTTTTTTTTTGGTCATCAAGTTTTTGACACCTTGCTGGTGGTACTCGGATGTTGCCATATCCTAAAAGTGGTACAATGGATGAAAAGGTTGAAAAGCCCTGGCTTATAGGACCTTTAGCATCAAACAATGGTATATATGGACTGCTGGCAAAATTCACCACTAAATTGAAATCTCAACCATCACTTTCCGAGATTTAATTCTGTTTTTCTGTGGCCAGGCTTCACAACAAGAGAACCAGGACTTGTTCAGGGTGAGGGTGGAGGAGTTTTAAGGGGTGAAATTAGCACCTTAAGCATTTACAAGACTTAAGGTACCCCTTCTTTTTGCATCATTTCCATCAACCACCAAAAAAAACAAGCAAACAAAAAGAAGGTCCTCAAAGTGGGGGAGGTCCTTTGGGGACTGCCAAAGGGATTCTAGGTAATTGCATGTCCCCTTCCCACAAATTCTGATGTCAGAGTAATTGCCTCCATGAACCATCTGGTCAGAGGGCTTCTACAAACAACCCTTCAAGACTTCAAATTAAAAGAGGACGGTCACTATTCCCTACCAAATGCAGAGGCAGTTCTTCCAGGTCCCCATCTTCGGTTACTTCGATTTCAGCGCCAACATCCATCCCCATCACCAAGTCCATTGTGTCCTGAAAAGAGGAGAAACATCTAGTGTGATCTTTATCCTTGTAACTGAGACTCCAGAAGCACAGGATAGTAGTCTTCACTTAATGACCGGTCACTTAAGTGTCAGTTCAAAGTTACGATGGATTCCTTCCTTCCCCCAAGTTACTTACCACGCAGTTCTGGAGGTGCTTTTTCAC